CCCGATACCCCCCCACATCAGCCCCAAAGCCCTACAAGGCCCGATCCAAGGACCCCCACCCTCACTATGTGATGAAGCCGATTAAAGGAGCCCAGATAGATTGATCTGATGTATCTGCAGAGGCTGTCTCAAGACTAATGTGATCTAATAAGAGATTCTTGTACTGATTGATACCAATGGCATTTTTACTTTTCCAATTCAAGAGTACCGTTTTCTTCACAATACATAGGGCAGTGATGATGATGTGAGATGTGTTTTTCTCTAAAGTAACGTCATCTAAGATAGCCAATAAGCAAACAGACGGAGATAGTGTGATATTACATTTCAGACGTTTAGACAAGTCTTCACAAATCTGGCCCCAGAACCTCTGAACAGGYGGACAGAACCAGAGTGCATGGATGTAATTGTCAGGTGTATTGCCTGTGCATTGAGAGCAGGTGTCAGATGACACAAATCCCATCTTGAACATTCGCTGACCTGTATAATGTACTCTATGAAGGATTTTATATTGTATTAGTTGTAAATTAAGATTTCTGGTCATTTTAAACATTTTTAAGCATATTTGGGACCAGGTGTTTTGGTCAAAGTTGACTGATAAGTCCGTTTCCCATTTTACAATTGGTAATGATATTGAATCATCTATTCTAGACAATTTCTTATATATTTTGGATAGCAATTTAGGTGACTTAAGGTGAAGGAACTCCAATGCGCTTACTGGTGTTTCTAACAGTGTTTTATGAAGCTTAAATTTATTTTTTATTATAGACTTAATTTGTTCATTTTCTAAGAAAAACTTCTTATCGATGCCATATTGTATTATTAATTTGTTAAATGGAATAAAGTCTTCACCTTCATATATATGCTCCAAATGATCAATTCCTTTACCCTTCCAACCTGAAAAGTTTAACATATTGTTTTGTTGCAGGATGTCAGGATTGTTCCAGATGGGTGTTTGTCTGCAAGGGATTTAATGAAGACTTTGTCATTTTCAGAAACTCCCACCATGCTGCCAGAGATGAGCTGATATTGATGCTTTTAAAGCACTCATGTTTTTTTATGTTAGTGCTAATAAACGGAAGATCTGACATCTTAATGTCATGGCATGAAGTTTGTTCTATATCTAGCCAAGATTCATCTAACGGATTAGGATTTAACCACTTTAAGATGTATTGTAACCGGTTGGCTAAAAAGTATTGGTAAAAGTTAGGAAGCTCCAGCCCTCCTATATCCTTAGTTTTCTGTAGTGTTTTTAGACTAATACGCAGAGTTTTATTTTTCCAAAGGAATTTAGAGATGAAAGAGTCCAGGGATTTAAACCAGACAGATGAAGGTTTATTTGGTCTCATTGAGAATAAATAATTTATTCTTGGCAACACCATCATTTTAATTGAAGCAATTCTTCCCTTAAGTGAGATGGGTAGAGATTTCCATCTTCTAAGATCTTCTATTTTTTTTAAAAGCGGGATGTGATTTAATTTAATTAAGTCTTCCAGTCTGGGAGAAATATTAATACCCAAATACATAATATTACCTGACTGCAGCTGTGTATTAAGAGAATTGTTAAAAACACAGTTAATTGGAAGAACTGTAGATTTTAACCAATTAATAGAGTAGTCAGAGACTTTTGAAAAAGAGTTTATTAATTCAATAACCTTAGATAGCATGTTTTCTGAATGCTGAAGAAAAAGCAAAACATCATCTGCATATATGTTCTATGTTCCTACATTGTATGCCTTTAATATCTGCAGTTTGCGTAATCACGGCCGCTAAAGGTTCAATGAAAATAGTAAACAGTGGGTGGGATAGTGGACATCCCTGTGCCTCTCTGTAAACAAAAGCTATTGGATGTTTGGTTATTTGTCCTGACACATGCTGTTGGTGAGTTATATAGTATTTTAACCAATTAATGAAATGGTTTCCAAAGCCAAATTTACGCAGGGTTGCAAATAAGAATTTCCAGTTCACTCTATCGAATGCTTTTTCTGCATCTGACAGAATAGTCATTTCAATGTTTTTACTGTAAGAATAATCTATTAAATTATATAATCTGAGTGAATTTGTAGTTGAGTGCCTTCCTTTTATGAAACCCATTTGGTCAGGATGAATTATGAAAGGAATTATCTTCTCTACTCTTTTGGAGAGGGCCTTACAAATTACTTTAACATCAACATTGAGAAATGGGACGATAACTAGTGGGTAATACAGGRTCTTTGCCTGGTTTCAATAAGAGACTAATGTTGGCCGAATTCATATGTTTTGGAAGTCTGCCTTGATAATCTAACTCCTAATATTGTTGCCAGGATATTCCAGAATTCCTTGTAGAATTCTGCAGGGAAACCATCAGGACCTGGAGCTTTATTGTTAGGCATTTATTTTAATGCTTCACAGAGTTCAGCTGATGTTAGCGGGGAGTCTAGTTCTGATGACCGACTACTAGATAATTTTGGAAGTGTTACATTTTCCAAAACCTGATAAATATCCTCATCTGATGGATTTATTTCTGGGGTGAATAAAGTTTTATAAAGTCTCTAAAAACACTGTTTATTTTTTCCTGGTCAAAAGTAATATTCCCAGTTACGTCTTTGACACAAGRTATAGTTGTTTTTTCCTTATTTATCTTGAGTTGGTTAGCTAAAAAGCTTCCTGATTTATTACTATGTTCAAAATTTTCTAATCGAAGTCTCTGTACCAAGAATTTGTTTTTTCTGTCAATAAGTTCATTTAATTCTAATTTTGCCTTCCACCTTTTTTGTTCTACTTCCTCTCCTTGTAATGCTTCTAACAATTTAATAGATTCCTCTAGTTCCTTAATGTGATTATTTTCATTTTTCTTTTTATTTGTTGAAAACGATATTATTTTGCCCCTCATCACTGTTTTCCCTGCCTTTCATAAAATGGATGTTGATATTCCTGGCAGGTCATTATACTCTAAATATGACGTCCAATCTTCTTTAAAATATTGTATAAACTGTTCATCTTTAAGTAATGATGTATTAAATCTCCAATTTATGCTTTTTTATTTTCCTTCCTGTTGTCTAAGGTTGAAGAAACTGGTGCATGATCACTAGCAGCCATAGGGTGTATCTCACTGTCTGAAATGTTGGTCAGCAATGAACTGCTGACTAATAAATAGTCCAGATGAGAATAAGAGTGATGGACATGTGAGAAGAACGGATATACTTTCCTAGTGGGGTGAAGAGAACGGCATGCCTATTGTCAAGATAATCATAGAGTGTAATTTATTTTCAACTCAAAATATCTTCAAACTAACAAAATATAAAGTTATTAGGGAGGAAAATCTATCTGATAACAGCAGACTGACTGCTGGTAAAATATACGACAGGTCTGGGGTCTCATTTATAAAGGATTGCGTGGAAACCATACTAAAAGTGAACG